AGGGTCAGAGGGAGAAGCAGACTCCCCGCCGAGCAGGGAGCCCGATGCGGGACTCGATCCCGGGACTCCGGGATCATGACCCGAGCCGAAGGCAGCCGCTCAACCGACTGAGCCACCCAGGCGCCTTACCGTGGGCTTTGAGAGCAATCAGTCCATGCTGCTGACTTGGAACGCCAACCCCTATGTCTCCCGCAGTGAAGCCAGTGCCTCCTGTGTGCAGAGTCCCGAAGGCTGTACCGGTCGGCAAGTCGGCCACGCTGCACTGCCAGGAGAGCGAGGGCTACCCCCGGCCCTACTACAGCTGGTACCGCAACGACGTGCCGCTGCCCACCGACTCCCGAGCCAATCCCAGATTCCGAAATTCCTCTTTTCTCTTGAACTCTGAAACAGGCACCCTGGTAAGACCTCTTCTCGGAGGTGAGGATAGAACTGTCTTTGTTGAGGAAGGGAGACCTGTTGTGGAAAGAGCACTTACTAGGAAAGACAATGAACTCTGTAAAGGGACTAAAAACCTATAATGTTGGAGATTCTGTGGGGAAAAATGAACCTCCCGTCCTGCTTAGAAGCAAATAAATTCTAAGGGGATAAAATAAAGGAAGGGAAACCTGTAAAATAAAGGTGATTGTGGAGGTCTGTTAAATGTAGTGGGTGGGTAATGTTAGGTTCCTGATATGAATAACCAGCTGTAAAAATCATGAGACAGGGAAATTGGATTACTGGCGGGATATTCGATATTAAGGAATTGTTCATTGCTTTAGGTGCAGTAATGGTATTGTAGTTATAATCTGAAGAAGTCCTTGTCTTTTAGAGTTGCATGCTTAAGTATTTATGGATAACACGTGTCTAGAATTTTCTTCAAAACAACCCAGCAGTGGTGGTGGGAGGTGGGGTTGGGGGGAGAGATGAAATAAGGTTGGTCTGTGTACAGGACAGACTGCCCTCCACGGCAGCATCTCAGCCGAGCTTTACTGCAGCCAGGCCTCCTGATCCGTGGCGTATCTAACTACACATAGTAACAAGCCAGGTTCTGTAGGATCCTCTGTATTTGTGTTGCCCAAGTGTTGCTGAGAAACAATGCTTATCAGAGAGTCCCTTTCCCTGAATAAAAGTGAAGCCCACACAAACCTGAGGGGATCTCACTGTTCAGGAGCTCTTGGGCAAGACTGCAGGGGAAGAATATCAGGGAAGAACCTGGACAGTGAGCAGAAACTGAAAGGAAACCAGGAGCAAATGAGAAGACATTTTACTAAGCTCTGGACTTAGTGCCTTCGTGGGGGAGAGGAGCATGGCGAAGTCTTCTCTTCAGTCCCCAGAGGTCTGCTCTGTTGATTGGTCTCATGATTTACTTGTAATTTCCTGCAACAGGTTTTCAATGCTGTTCACAAGGAAGACTCTGGGCAGTATTACTGCATCGCTTCCAATGATGCAGGCTCAGCCAGATGTGAGGAGCAGGAGATGGAAGTCTGTGAGTTACTTTTTGAAAATATTTCATCTGAAGACTGGCAAGTGGATAGAACATTTTTAATATTAGACCATCAATTTAGACAACTGGTCAGCTTTCTTCTGGAGATGACTGGATTCACCAAAACTCACTCGGGTACATTGAAAGGAAAGATGAGAAAGTTTTGAGTAACAGCTAAATGACTAATAAGTGATTACTTGCAATATGTTTATCTCCTCAAAATAGACTTTCTGGAGTCTTGTGATGTTGGGAACATAGTTAATCGTGTTGCTTTTAACTGAGTATATATTTATTTTTAAAAAAATTTTTGAAGATTTTATTTATTTATTTGACAGAGAGAGAGAGCCAGAGAGCATAAGTGGGGGGAACAGCAGAGGGAGAGGGAAAAGCAGGCTCCCCGCCGAGCAGGGAGCCCAACTCGGGGCTCCATCCCAGGACCCTGGGATCATGACCTGAGCTGGAAGGCAGAGGCTTAACCAACTGAGTCACCCAGGTGCCCCTTAACTGAGTTTAATAAACTCCATTTCTGGGATGTAAGCATCCGACTCTTGATCTTAGCTCAGGTCTTGATCTCAGGGTCATGAGGTCGAGCCTTATATTGGGCTCCATGCTGGGTGTGGAGCCTACTTTAGATAGATAGATAGATAGATAGATAGATAGATAGATAGATAGATAGATAGATAGATAGATAGATAAACTAACTCCACTTCTTTGATAATTGATAAAATTATCAAAACATAATGTCGTGTAAGGTCTCCAGAAATTTATCCAGTTATAACCATTTTGTGGTAAGCTGACAGCCAGAGTTTTAGCCTCAGTAACTTTACCCTGTTCTGTGATGATACCGTCTCTCGGATGCTGGTTCTAAAGGAGAGGTGTTGAAGGCAGGATGGGACAAATGGGGCATGTCACCATCACAATCACCTGGGGAGTGATCTCAGCCCCTCCCTCCTTCCTGTGTATAACTGACCCCAGAGCAGTGTTTTCCAAGCTTGCCTGATTGTGAGAATCATTTGAGTGCACTGTTTCACGTACAGATTCCAAGGCCCCACCCCAGGCGTATGGACTCAGTCCCCATGGGAGGTCTGGAAATGTCTGTGTGTCAAACAGCACTCCAGGGGATTCTTGTCATCTGTCAAATTCAGGAAACAGCTCCAGGGCAGGAGGAAGACTCTTGGGCTTTGCCCCAGACCTACTGAATCTCTCTCTAGTGATAGAGCTTGGGAATTGACATTTTGAAGTCAAAATTTCAATTTTTAAATGCACACTCACATTTGAAACCACTGCACTAGGATAAGGGAGAATTTAACAACTTCCAAGTTAGTTGGCTTATGTTGATATATTGCCTGCATGTTTTCCATTGCATTTTTACCTGCATGAAGGAAACAGCCCCAGTGTCCCATACTGATGGGGACTGAGTACCTTTGCCCAGTATACAGAAATGGGAAGAGGGGGTCAAGGGCTTTCCTCCAAGAGGCTTGTAGATACGAGGCCAGGCAGCTGATAGTGAAAGGTCATGTTCCCACATCATATTTTTATTTTTCAGTCCTGTGAGAAACTAGTTCTCTTTCCCCAAATAATGCACAGCAAAGGGAATCCCTGGAAATTAGGAATTTTTTCTTTGGGATTCCTGGTTCCTTAATTCTGTCTTTATAAAGTGAAACCATTTTCTCCATTAATAATATTTTCAGGGATTTAGCCAGAAGATCGTAAAAGCCTTTATACAATGCTAAGCCCCTTTTAATACAGGATTAAGTATAACGGCATTTGAACTTTGGCGGTCTCAGTACTTTTTTTTTTAAATTTTTTTATTGTTAGGTTAATCCCCATACATTACATCATTAGTTTTAGATGTAGTGTTCCATGATTCATTGTTTGTGCATAACACCCAGTGCTCCATGCAGAACGTGCCC